TCCTCAAACGAAATCGCGAGGTTATAGACCTGTCCTCAATACGCCCACTTGACCACCTCAGGCACATACTCAATGTCCAGAACGCTGACCAACAGCCGGGCAATCCCGTGAGCTCTGGTGAAATCCATATCCACTCGCTCCGGTCTCCCCACCAAAATGCCCAAACTAGCCACAACCCGAGCATCCTGCATGGGCTTCGAGGGGGCTCCAGAAAAACGCAGCCAAACCTGGGTCAGAGGCTTACCCTGAGGCTTGACTCTCTTCCACTCATGGAACTCAAGCACACCATCAGTACCCGACACTTTGCACATCCCAAAACTCAGAAGTCGCTGAAGGTCCTCCACTGAAGGGAACTCAACCCTAAACAGTTTCTCCTCAAGATTAACCAGCTCCCACTGGAAGTCACCTGGAGCTAACTCCTTCAGCCTCTGCACAATCTGTGTCTCAGAGACCTCTCATCTGGTAACTTTTACTATCCCAGTAGTCAAACTCAGGGTCTCGTCAGGAGCCTCTCTCTCAGTAGGAGACTCAAAGAATGTTAGTTCATCACAGTACACTCCATACATCATGAGAGACGGTGCCTGATCTCGCAGAAACGGACAATCCCCCGTATCATGTGTCGGCTTGCCACAAGTGCCACACAGCTCAGCCACACACTCAGCAATGAAATGACCCTTGCCTCCGCATCGATAGCACAACATTTTCTCTTTCTTACGCGCCCATTTGGACGCCCTCTCTGAATCAGCCTTATCTGTTGCATCCACTGACGCAGTCATCATGGTTTCAATCCCAGGTATCTCAGCATGAGCTAACGCCGACACCACCTCCAAATCTTGACCTGACAGCACCATCTTCTCAGCAGACCCATCAACGGCCATCTGATCGACCACAGGTGGGGGAGGTTGTCGTGGTCGGTACCGGCCACCTCGCCCGCCTCAACCACCGCGATGACCGTAGAAACCTCCTCGCTGTCTATATCCCGGGCCAGAAGCCCCCTCTACAAAACCACCCTGGGGACCCAAGAACGGTCTCTCCGCCGAGCCATCACTCTGCCAAGCGTAACCTCGACCACTGCCCGTCGACGACGAACCACGGTGCTGGCCCACCCCATAGGCGTTGAATCTATCATCCTAGGACGGAGGCATGGACGACGAACCACGGTGCCGGCCTAGGCTGTTAACCCGACCAGCGGCAACTCCAGCCACACCAGGCGCTGGCGAACGAGGCCCCGCACTCAGCCCGCCATGTCCGTGAGCCTGCACGGAGGCCGAGCCAGGCACCGGCGTGCAGGCGCCGGGCAGCAACGCGGCACCACGGCCCGCGGCCGCACCGGTCAGCGCGCCCCTCCTGAACTGTTGTCGGCACCACCGTGGGCGGCGCACCATGGCCATCCCCATGGATCAGGGCACCACGGCCGGTCCCAGTGGCCGGCGGTGGCACGACTCCGCGGCCACCACCATTGCCCGACGGCGGCATGACCCCGGCGCGACCAGCCCCAGGAGGCTCGGCTGGCCTTTTTCCCGACGGCAAATTACCACGTCCAGCCATGGCCTCGAGCGGGGGAATGCGTCGAGCGCGGCCGCCACAGTCAGCACGCCGTCGCGGACTCTGGCGAACGAAAACCCTACGGCGCGAGGCGGAGTCAGGGGAAGATCGATCTCTGCATGCGCCTCGCACGTACTCGATCTCTACAGAATCCGCCTGGGCCTCATACCCAGCGGTTCCCAGCCCAACTGGCCCCGGCCCAACTGCAGCCGCTTCGCACTGGGCCTCATACCCAGCCGAAGACGGCCCAGTAGACACTGGCGGCCCATCCGCGCCAATCAACATTTTCAAACGCGCCGCCCTAGCGGCCGCGATCCCGAACGACGCCGCCGGCGCCGCCTGCTGCCGGCCGACCGGCGCACGGCGTCCCTTCTTCTTTCCGACCACCACCGTCCATGCCTCCGGTCTAACCATATCAAACAGAGTGAGCTTGGGGAGACTGACCTTGGGAAGAGGGCCCTTCCACGGCCGAGGAGCGGCCGCCGCCGTCCGCCGATGCACGATTCGCCGGAGCAGCTCCATCTTCTCCCCGGGACGCAAACCGTTCCTCGCCGGATCCGCGGGAGGGACGATCACCTCCACGATCTCCGCCACCTCCTCCTCATCGTAGCCGGGACCGAAAGTTTCGCAAATCACATCTGAGGGAGTCGGCGAGTAGGCCGTCGAGCCGTCGGAGCGCTCGCCGTCTTCGTCTTCGTCCCCCTTGTCTTCGTCCGCAAGCGCCCAGAAGCGCCCGCCCACCCTCCGGCGATCACCGGGGGCACGCGCGCTGGCCGGCGTCAAAGAGCCCTGCGCCATCGCCTAGTCGCCCCTAGTCGCCCCTAGTCCAGAAGAAGGCGCTCCCACTCCATCTACAGTTGGACGGTGGAGGATCTCAGGAATACAAGAGACATGAAGAGATGTTGTTCTCCTCACTGTGCAAGCTTGGCACTTGCAAACTCCAGTCTTTATGGATATACTCTCCGGATTCAACACCCATCCAGTTCTTAGATTCTTGGTCCCCTCTTCCATATAACCTCCAAACATTTTGGATGACCAGTAGCTACTATTTACCAAAGATGCCAAAGTGGATTGTACCAGCACTCACCAGTCTCTCATACCTGAACATTAATTTGATTGAAGCAACAGAGGAGGATCTGCGGATGCTGGGAGAGATGCCGGCCTTACTTTGTCTGAGTATAACATTCAATACCTTCCAAAAAGAAAGGCTTACCGTACAAGGCATTGCATTTCCGTGTTTGAAGGAATTATACCTTATCTGCTGGGAAAGTGCAATTTACTTGACGTCTGAAGAAGGAGCACCGCCAAAGCTGGAGAAGCTTGTGGTGCCGTTTTTTGTTTCAGTGGCAGAAGAGTATGGGTTCTACTTGGGTCTTGGCCACCTCGCATGTCTGAGAGATGCCATATTTACTCTTTGCAATTATGCAGGCACATCTTCCGTAAGCTGCTCTGCTGCAGCTGCTGCTATAAGGAACGAGGCAAATTGCCATCCCAATCGTCCCAAGTTATCTATCCGGAACCGAGTTGGAAGAAACCTGCATTGACGAGGAAGAGAGCTAGCTGCCAGGGAACTGACATTTGACTACCAATGCAAGAGGTATTAATCATAATTATCAATTTCGTACTATAACACTTTCTGACACCCATATGTGACATGTTTTCCCTTCATCTATTCAGTGAGTCTTCTGTTACATGCAAGTGCATGATGGCTTCATTGGAATGTCGTGGTGATGACTGAACCCTCAAAACATCACAGAGGAAGTGGTGTTAGTTGCTCTGCTACATGGCACGATTTGCTTTTCAGGGAATATTGTACTCTCAGAAACTTTTTTATTGATTACTATTTTTAAGAATTATTGTGTGTGTACTTGTGTAAGTTAGTTTGATCCTAGGTTTCGGAGTTGAAATGTTGTCTTGTCACTCCAATACTCTGAACTCTTCTACTGTAGCTTGAACTGCTATGTTGTAAACTGCTTCACCTGGTTTCAGTCTCAGAGATGTAAGGGAGGCGTGGCAGATTTGGGATGTACACTAGGTAAATGATTCAGCAGAAAGTACCCAGCATTGAACTTCTGGCCAACTGTATCAACTCGGCACTTCGCAACAGCAATCATTCGCGTGCTCTGCTGCCGTCTGTTGCTCTGTTTCCTTACGGTATTAAGGAAACTGACTATTTATAATCAAGTTCGTTCCATTTTAATTATAACTAGATATAGAAGAAGATGCAGGGCTTTGGTAAGTTCAGAGTGCACGCATGGTTTGCAATACAGTACAGTACAGAAGCTCTAAGTATCGATGGCCAGGTACAGGGCTTTGGACTTTGGTGTGCTGTCCGTGCCCAGCTTCAGGTCCGTGTCCACTAGGTACATCAAGATAGTCTACACCCTGCAATGCAGCACAGGCTTAATTCAGGGTTGATATGATTCGGCGAGAACATGCCGCTGCTGGAGTTTTTATATTCCACTTTGAGTGTCTTGTTTTTTGACAGAAGTGTAACTCTGGGTGGATTCATTCGTCGGTTTCACCATTTGTGTGGTGACTGCTGAGAGACAGGCATAGAAGATGCATAGTCGGTCAGGTTCAGAATAGAGATACATGGGGGTGCAGTGCAGACAAAGTACCCATGAGGCCATCAACGTTGCAAGATTATTGCCTCAAGTAGTCAAGTGTACTTGACATTCTAGTAAGTTCTCCTATATATGAAGATTTTAGATCATCGGGGGCTTTGTCCATTGTTGAACTTTCAATGAACCAAATTCTGAGGTTCAGACAGGTTTAAATTCTTGAAAAATGTTTAGATGTGGTTTATGCGTGTGAGGACCGGATGGCTTATCATGTTAAGCTTAAATCTTCCATTTGGTTCCCTGAACTCTTGCTTTCAGGATTCAGACCTCCGGGATGATGAAAGAAAAGGGAACGATGTTGCTACAAAAATTGTTTAAAACACAACCTATAAAAGTAAGTGGGAATGAATGAAACTTGCGAAAATATGGACTGTGGGTTTCCCAGAGGATTCAGACCTCCGGGAAGATGAATGAACGTTAAGAGATGAGCCATGAGATCGTCTTGTGACAGTCGCATCACAAGTTGCAAAAAGCAGAGTAGGGAAGGAAGAAGTTCACAGTAAGAAAAACGGAAGTTAACTGCATGAAACTTATAGGGCTACACCAGAACCAGTCGCCTGCAAAGTCTAGCATTGGATACTTCCTTGCTCAATGATCGTTCAAATCTTAGCCTCTAGTGGTAAATCACTGGCAGCATGCTCAATTATTCCACTACCTTTTTCTGCTTTTGATAAAGTCATGATATGACAAGAGTCACTTGCATATGGGCCATTGTGCTTAATTGTGTGTACCCATCTGCTGCCATAGGTTAAACTGTGATAGGAGACTGCCAGTCAATGCGGACTGCATTCCCTGTTCGTCCGACAAGGCGTACAGAGCCGTGAAGCCGACATGAGTGACGCTGCGCACTGTCCACAGCTACAGCCATGGTTAGGCCGATCTAAAGCAAAAACTCAAGGAATCTTGCAGCTAGTACGAACCCCATTATTGAGTCCTCTTCCTGCTCTCCTCTCCACTCTGAGCACACCAAGCACGAACCCACCAAGGAGAGATGGGTTCCAGAGAGGAATAGAGAGATCCCTTCATCAAAAGAAAAAAGAAGAGAGATCAATGGAGGTGGTGAGTGCTTCGCACGGCGTCTTGGGTCCCCTGCTGGGGAAGCTCACCGGTTTGCTCGCCAGTGAGTGTGCCCGCCTCAAAGGCGTCCGGCGTGAGATCCGCTTGCTCAAATCCGAGCTGACCTGCATGCATGGCGCGGTCGAGAAGTACACAATGATGCAAGATCCTGATGTTCAGGTTAAGAAGTGGATGTCGCTGGTGAGGGAGCTGACCTATGACATTGAGGATGTCATCGACAAGTTCATCCACCAGCTCAGTAATGAGGGCCACCGGCACCAGGGTGGCTTCAAGGAGTTCTTCCGCAAGACTGCTCGCCGGCTCAAGACTATGGGCTCTCGCCGTGGAATCGCCAACCAAATCAATGCTTTGAAGATTCGTCTCGAGCAGGTAAAAGAGTTGAAAAGTAGTTACAAGCTGGATGATATTACCTTTGAACATTCAGCTGTGGATCCTCGCTTGTCTGCTCTTTTTGTTGACGAAGCACACCTTGTGGGCATTGATGGTCCAAGGGATGATCTTGCCAATTGGATGTTGGAAGATAAAAATGGCTCGACCAAGGATCGCAAGGTGTTGTCCATTGTTGGCTTCGGTGGGTTGGGAAAAACGACACTGGCGAGGGAGGTCTACCGCAAGATCAAAGGGCATTTTCATTGTCAGGCTTTTGTCTCAGTCTCACAAAAACCAAATGTAAAGAAAATTATGAAGAATTTGATCTGCCAGCTGCCTTGCAAGAAAGATTTTAAAGAAGGTATCGACACTTGGGATGAAACAATGTGTATTGCAAAGCTAAAAAAATTGTTGCAAGATAAGAGGTAATTCAGCCCCCCTTTTAACAAATACTATATTTATGATAATTTCTTAATACTAAGCTGTAGTGAAAAATAATCAAACAGTAAACAAATATGCATAGAGGCTAAAGATTAGTGATGTACTCAAAGGACTCAAAATATTTTTGTTATCCTTTAAAGCATGAATAAAATATGTGATATGTTGTCGAAACATGAGTATACTATATTAAGATAGACTTCTAAGTATGCTACAACACACACTAGATATTCAAACAAGTGTTTTAGGCAAAAGATTACTCACACAAGTATTGTAGAATGATTTTTGTATGATCATGAGGCAAACATTATGTAGGTGAGATCTTTTTTGAACTTAAGTTGGTTAGTTTTGACTTCCAACTATGGCTAAAGTCTTTGTTAAGTAAGCAAACTACAGATTGCAACACAAGCAATAGGCACATGGTAGACCTTACCTTGTTGAGTACTCCCTATGTAAAGAAATATAATAGTGTTTAGATCACTATTTTAGTGATCTAAATGCTCTTATATTTCTTTACGGAGGGAGTACGAAGGTTATCATGGTTTACTTACTGTATTATTTTTGACTATTTTTATGATTATCCTCTTGGAGTTCATAGTGTTATTTTCCATATTATTGAATTCCTTTGACATGACATTGTTCTTCATATTTTGTACTTGAACTCTTTTCATGGTAGGTTAACAATATCTACTTATATCTATTAGGTATCTCATCGTTATTGATGATATATGGTCCATACCAACATGGGACACTATTAAGAATGCTTTCCCAGAGAATGATCTTTGTAGCAGAATTATAGCTACTACACGCATTGTTGATGTAGCAAGGTCATGTTGTCTAGATGGTAATGGCCGCATGTATGAAATGGAAGCCCTGAGTGATCTCCACTCCAAAAGATTGTTTTTCAAAAGAATATTTGGTTCCGTGGATGGTTGCCCTGATGTGCTAAAACAAGTTTCAAACAAAATACTGAAGAAATGTGGAGGCCTCCCATTGGCAATTATCAGTATATCAAGTTTATTGGCAACAAAACCGGTGATCAAAGATGAGTGGGAGAGGGTCAGAAGGTCTATTGGTTCTGCATTGGACAAAAACCGAAGCTTAGATGGAATGAATAACATATTATCCCTTAGTTACAATGATCTTTCACCCAATCTCAAGACCTGCTTGTTATATTTATGTATATATCCTGAGGATTATGTGATTGAGAGAGATATTTTAGTGAGGCGATGGATTGCAGAAGACTTCATCTCTGAAGAGCACGGACAAAGCAAGCAAGAGGTTGCTGAGAACCACTTCTATGAGCTAATAAACAAAAGTATGGTCCAACTGGTTGAAATTGGCTATGATGGAAAGGCTCGTTCTTGTCAAGTCCATGACATGATGCTCGAGCTCATCATTTCAAAATCGGTTGAAGATAATTTCATCTCTTTGGCAGGCCATGGTCAAACTGATTTGGCAAAGTGTGATGGTCTTATTCGGCGACTATCAGTCCAGCATATTGGCCAAGAGCTTGCATCCATATTGGCAAATGAAGATCTAAGCCATGTACGTTCTCTGACAGTGATAGCATCAACTTGCATCAAACACTTGCCTAGGCTTGTTGTCTTTGAAGCTTTGCGTGTACTAGAATTTCAAGATTGTGAGAGTCTGCACAAGTATGACATGAATGGTATAGATAAACTATTTCAACTGAAGTACCTGAGCTTTAGGGGCACTTGGATGTCGAAGCTACCATCGGGGATTGTGAGGCTATATGGTCTAGAGACCCTAGATCTTAGAAATACATATATAGAAGAATTGCCCACTGGGATTATTCAGCTTGTTAAGCTACAACATCTACTAATTGCAAGATATTCCGGTAAAGATCCTCTTGGCGAAATGAAGATACCCAATGGTATTGACAATATGAGGAGTTTACAGGTGATCTCAGGCTTTAATATTATGAAGAGTGCATTGTGTGCAGTCGAGGAACTGGGGAATCTGTCCGGTTTGAAAGAACTCCATGTACAGTTGGATGGTCGAGGATCTCAGGAATACCAGAGGCATGAAGAGATGTTACTCTCCTCACTATGCAAGCTTGGCAGCTGCAAACTTCAGTCTTTACAGATACTCTCTACTGGTTCAACACCCCTCCAGTTTTTAGATTCGTGGTCCCCTCTGCCATATAACCTCCAAACATTTTGGATGACCACTAACTACTATTTACCAAAGATGCCAAAGTGGATTGTACCAGCACTCAGCAGTCTTGCATACCTGAACATTAATTTGAATGAAGTAACAGAGGAGGATCTGTGGATACTTGGAGAGGTGCCTGCCTTACTCTGTCTGAATTTAACATTCAACACTGTCCAAAAAGATAGGCTTACCGTACAAGGTGTTGGATTCCCGTGTTTGAAGGAATTCTACCTTATTCGTGATTATGATTGTACAAGTGCAGCTTACTTGACGTTTGAAGAAGGGGCACTGCCAAAGCTGGAGAAGCTTGAGCTGCCGTTCTCTGTTTCAGTGGCAGAAGCCAATGGGTTCCAATTGGGTCTTGGCCACCTCCCATGTCTGAGAGATGCCAAAGTTACTCTTTGCAATGATGTCGACACATCTTACGAAAGCAACTCTGCTGCAGCTGCTGCTATAAGGAACGAGGCAAATAGCCATCCCAATCATCCCAGGCTATCTATCCTGGGAGAATGGGAAGAGAGCTCAAGCGACGAGGAAGAGAGCTACACCGATAATGAAGAGAGCTAGCTGTCAGAGAATTGTTATATCCTGACATTTCACTACCAACACAAGAGGTATTAATCATAATCAACAATTTTGTACAACACTTTCTGTACGCAACCTTTTGCACGCTTAGATGTGACATGCTCTCCCTTCATCTGTTCAGGGTATCTTCTGTTAAACGCAAGTGCGTGATGGTGTGCTGTTGGCTTGGTTGGAATCTCGTGGTGATGCCTGAACCCTGAAGATGTCCAAGAAGAAGTGGTGTTAGTTGTGCTGTTGGCTTGGTTTTCAGGAATCTTGTATCAGAATTTGTTGCATTGATTACTATTGTCATAAAAATTATTAAGCTCACCTCCAGGTGAAGTTTCCTTATTGTGTGTGTACTTTTGTGTAACTGAATTTGATGGACCATTCATTAAGTTAAGTTGAAACAGCTTTCTACAAGTTTGATCTCAGGGTTCATAGTTGAAACATTGTTCTTTTGTCACTCCAATACTCTGAACCCTTCTACTCTTCTATTGTAGCTTGGACTGCTTCACCTGGTTTCAGTCTCAGTGATGTAAGCGGGGCGTTAGAATTTTGGATATACAGTAGGGAAATGATTCAGCAGGATGTATGTACTCGGCACTTGGCAACAGCCAGTCGTTCGCATGCTCTGCTGCTGCCGGTTGCTCCGTTTCCTTCCTCTGCTGCTGCTTGCCTCCCTGGTGGAAACGATCGACCACATCCATGGACCTCATCATGACTCAAAGTACCTAGTGCGTAGCTGATTGTGTTGAATAACCAAGTATTCAAAGGGGTGACACAATCAAAGAGGAAACTGACTATTTGTAATCAAGTTCGTTGCAGTTTGATTATAATTAGTATTACAAAGTTGAGGGTGCCGAGGTATAGAAGAAGATGCAGGCAGGGTCGGGTCAGGAGTTCAGTGTGCACGCATGGGGTGCAATACAGTACAGTACAAACAAGCTGTGCCACTGAGGCGAGATGCAGAGGGTGGACGTATAGGGCTCTGGTATCCCGTGGGACACCTCAAGCTTATGTATCGATGAAATGCTACTGAACGAGTGAGTTCCTGGACATGTCCAAGTTGTGCTACTCGGAGATGCCCAACATCAATCCTAGCTAGCTTACATGTACTACTTTCTACGACCTGCTGCCTGCAGATAATCTTCCCATGCAAATTTTCAATCACCATATATAGCTCAACAGGGCCTCACCCGCTAGGCTAGGCCGCGCTACTGAACTTGCCGTGAACAGATAGATGAGGTTTCAGACCCAAATCCCGAGTTTCAGGCTGCTTTAAATCCTAACTTTGCAGCAGCAGCAGCAGCAGCAGCAGAGTAATTGGGACCGACGGCAGGAAGCCATGAACGGGGGAATCGCGTCGTAACTGAATGGACTGGGCTCAAAATATGGCCGAACCGGAAAATTTCGACAAAACGGCAGAGGAAGCTCTGAACTGCTGCACCTACTAGCTGGTTTCAGTCTCAGAGATGAAAGCGGGGCGTCAGCCATCAACCACCTAAATGGATCTCATCATTCACCGTAGCTAGTTCGTGAGCTGTGCCTAGTCTGATTGTGTTGGCCCCGGCGTAATGACAAGCCAACACATGACCACCATGCACAACACACCTAAAAGAAGGATCAGCACGACAGAAGCAGCATCCAAAGTTCGTTCGTATGGACAGTCCAGCGTGGGTGATCGCTCTAAATCGGATTTCTGGTAGAGTCCACTACTACGAGATCAACATCAAGATTGTTCTTCACAGCTCGATATCTGCAACATGTTGGGCATTGCCATATCACATTTTTCAGCGATCCGAACGGTGATGCCATGCCGGGCTTACATGGACGCTGAGTGCCCATCGCAGGGCACAACCCAGTCCTCCTAGATGACGATCTTGGGCTTGCCATTGGTGTGGGTTGGCAAGGAATCCCTGACTGTCTCCTTGAAAGTGAAAACTAAGCAACAAGTCCTAATACCATTTTTAGTACTAACATAGTTCATCTCCTCTGTTAGAGCACGACAACTGCATTATCAATCGAGAAAGAAGCACCAGCTCACCCAGCTGCGTTAGAAAACACTAAAACAGCAGGCTGTGCATTATTCTCAAAACCTTGCTATCTTCCCACCAGACAGTGGTTGACGAGGTGCTAAATTGCGCTAGAGTTTATTTTACCCACATAGTGTCTTCAAACCTCAAGCCACTTGGTCAAGCTTTGGAGCCGTCCGTTTGATTATTGAAGATACCATCTGTCACTAGCCGGGTTTTTTTTTTTTGGAAAAGGAGGATGACCCCCGCCCTCTGCATCTGGGAGATGTATGCGGCCATTTTATTGATTCCCCCGGCCTCTGCATCTGGGAGATGTATGCGGTCATTTTATTGATTATTCTAGAGGACCTTACAAAGTAGAACAACAATTGCATGCTGTATAAACTACATGAGACGCATCACCTAGTTGTATTTTTGTAATCCTCACCCAGTTGTAGTTAAGTACTAGCCTAGTCAGATGGAGAAAGCTACCCCTCCCCCCATCCCAACTAACCCTTTCTCTTCCAGAGAAATTATTGTCGACTTGTGCGTTGCTATCTTCATACAACCCTCCTAGCTCTTTCGGCGAATATAGGAGAAGTATCATATTTATTTACATGTGATGCAATTCATTTCATATATATTATGCATGTATATCGAAATTTAGTTCATATCTAGATTCAGTTGGTACCAGCAAGTGTCGTTTGGCTTTTAAATTGTGCAATCAATCTTGGGCTTTCAGTGTGGTTGTTGTAGGGCTTCCAGTGGAGTTGATATTTGTCTCTTATCACCCGATCATGGTATAATCAATCAATGCGGGGAGAAGCAGGGAAGATTACAATAGAAGCTAACCTTAGGGTACAAAAATTAGGAAAGCCTCAACGTGGACCGTTGGATCTTAGATGGATGCTCCAAATTGACGGAAAAGGGTTCCCCCGCTTTATATATAAAGTAACCATCACCACAACATTCGAGTATGAAGATACAAACGCACTCCACCACCACACTCAACGCACACACCCAAGACGAGATAAAGGTGCCGGGCACCGAAACAGCACCCCAATGACGACCAAGCAACCTAATGATAAGCAAAGAAGAACCGCTTGGGCCGATGGAGATCACCACCAAGATGAGCAATCCACTGAGGAGCGGTGAGACGGACACGGCCGGAGTGAGGACTCCAAGACGATGCTTTCAGGAAGGATACGACCACAGGTAGCCGCCAGCGTCTGGTCTCGAAGATCAAGTTTTCACCCGGAGTGGCACGAAAGGAGTGGGAGCACCACGACAGAGCCTGCAAGGAGGAGAACGGCCTCCACGGACGCCGCCTCCGTCGGCCAGTACAGGGACTGGGCAAGTGGTGTACCCCGGTGCTCCTACCCCTCCGTCAATGGATGCTCCAGATTGACTGTGTGTAGCTCGTGGAGGATTTTGTTCATTTTTGAAACCTCCCCAAATGCAGTACATCAGCTCCCCGCAGCCAATCTACCATCTGAGCTCCAATGGTCCACTTTGAATTTATCTACTTTTGCACCCTAAGGTTACCTTTAATTGTAGTCTTCCCCAAAGTGCGGTGGCCTGGATAATGATTGAAATGCCACATGCATCCCCACCGGAGTCTGAAAGTCACATGTTATGGAGTAAGAAGACAATCCATCTAAGCGCTCATTGACTATATATGATTACTACACTATGAATACTTGAACCAGCCAACGAACCAAGTTGTCCATCTTGTATTTTGTGGAAAGAAGACGTGAGTAGCACCGTTCTCCTAAGCTAAAAATTATCCGCGGGACGCCCATTTTCGTACGGAGTGCACGGCCTGTCATATCGTTGTTTAGCCTCGTCGATCAGGCTGTAGTCTGTCGAAGGAAGAAGAAACAACTCAATCAGCTGCGTTCTTATCTTAGTAGGTTGCTAGGTTAGCTATATTCTCTACTAGTAGTGTTTGGTTGGATGAGCCCCCAAGTAGAATTATTCTTTTTTTGGTTGACAATGCAATTGTACTTTCAAATTAATAGTGGGATGTTTCGTGTAAAAAAAAACTCAACCAGCTGCATTAGGAAACATCAAAACCACAGCCCTTGCATTATTCTCAATACCTTCCTATCTTCTTACAAAACTATGGAAACAAACTAGTGGTCACCAGACAGAGATCTACTGGAATAATGCCATATGTGATTTTCTTACTTGTTTTCATGAAAACTCTCATTTGCGTCCTTTGTTATATTGTACATTATGGTACTATATTGTTCTTCTCGAAAAAGAAAGGGCATTATTGATCTATATCTATAATGGAAGAGAATATTCAACCAGTATTTGCATCTCTATTTATATTTGCATCTCAAAAACACAAAACCCATATTATCACAAAGTTATTATAAAATTTGCAGGAAAGTGACATATAGCTAGTATGGTTGACGCAGAGCCAAATTGTGCTAGGGCTTTATCTTACCTAGCCTTTTCAAATCTCAGGCCACTTGGTCAAACTTTTTAGCCGGCCATTGATTATTGAAGACACCCTCTGTCACTGACCATTGCATTTTGTACAAACTACAAGAGAGCATCTATTGTTTTAATCCTAAGTACTACTCCCTCCGTTCCTAAATATTTGTCTTTCTAGACATTTCAAATGACTACTACATACGGATGTATGTAGACATATTTTAGAGTGTAGATTCACTCATTTTGCTCCGTATGTAGTCACTTGTTGAAATGCCTAGAAAGACAAGTATTTAGGAACGGAGGGAGTACTAGCCAAATTAGATGGGGAAAGCTATTCATCCCCCAACTAATCTCCTCTCCCAGAGAACTTGTCGCGTAACCCTGCTAGATCGTCTAACGAATGTGGGAGAAATTTCATGTTTGTTTACAAGTGATGCAAATCATTTCATATGTAATACTCCCTCCGTCCGGAATTACTTGTCGGAGAAATGAATGTATCTAGACATATTTTAGTTCAAGATACATCCATTTTTATTCATTTCT